TCCTGTCGCCCCCCCCCCCCCCCCCCATGCTGATCCTCTGTCTTCAGTCCCCCATTATAGAGTATAAGTGAGATGAGGAGTCCTGACTTTGAAGCACTAAACCTGAGGATCAGCATGGCAACTTGTGTTGTCAGACATGGGAGCTGTATTGTGCGTCACCTTTAAGGACTTCTCTAATATTACACTCCGGATATGGACTTCCGGTCTGTAATCTGGAGAATGGCGGGTGGTCAGTGAGGGGAGACATTGTGTGGATTAAATATCACCACAGAGTGAAATCAGAGTGGACAGGAAGAGCCATGTGCACATCTATACCTGCCCCCTCCACTCAGATCTCTCTCTCTGGAAGTAGGTGGAGTTATCACCGTGGGTGGGCGGAGCTTAGTTGAGTGTACATTCCACTGTCTGTGTTGATGTGTTGCAGAAAGTTCCATAATGGTGGGAGGAGTTACAACCTTTATGATTGCTGGGCTCCTCCCCCTGTGCAGTCTCCCAGGCAGAGTGCTCCATTGTGACTCCTCCCTGTGGTGGAGTCTCAGGTAGATCCTGGGCTCCCCCAGGCAGAGTACTTCATCTTGACTCCTCCCTCTGTGTGGAGTGCTGCATTGTGACTCCTCCCCATGGGTGGAGTCTCGGGAGGATGGCTCCATCCATAATAACAATCTCTATCCTTTGTTTCAGGACGGATGCGGCAGCTGGGCAGGGGCCGACCTGGGCAATAATGAACGCAAACAGAAATTCCTGAGGCTCATGGGGGCCGGAAAGGTAATCGGTCATGTGACTATATTGCAAACATCTGATTAGTCCCCTGGGGTGCATAGGCACCTCCCCCCTCTCCTCACCAGTGTCGGAGTTATTCCTTAAAGCCTCATTCAAAGTATTTGTTTATAGTTTCCTTCCGTGGCTCTCTGTGACCCCATTGGGGTATTTCAGGTTACTTCCTGTGACAACTGTACGAGGCAGCGGGTGTCACCAGAAGGTATGGGAGGAATTCATCTAATTGGCACAGG